TGATCAAGAAAATATATCAACAAGCTGCTAATTCTCAAGTCACTAATTTGAGTAATTTGTTGATTTCACTTAATAGTACAATTATTTGTAGAGTTGCTTTTGGTGTTAGATTTGATGAAGAAGCATATGAAAGGAAGAGATTTAATCATATTGTGGATGAAGCTCAAGCTATGTTGGCAAGCTTTTTTGTGTCTGATTTTTTTCCATCTTTAAATTGGATAGATAAACTTACCGGACAGACAAACAGACTTGAGAAGAGTTTCAAAGATTTGGATGAGTTTTATGAAGAATTAATTGAACAACATCACAATTCCAATAGGCCAAAATCCATGGAAGGAGATATTATAGATCTTTTGCTTCAATTGAAAAAAGAGCAATTAACACCAATTGATCTGTCTTTGGAGGATATAAAAGGAATTATCATGGTAATTTTCCATTTCTTTAACCTATCTACTTCTACACGCGCTCACACACACATATACATACATACATACATACATATATATATATATATATATATATATATATATATATATATATATATATATATATATATATATATATGCATATAGACATTTATATTTACGTTTGTACAATTGTACATATGTACAAAAAGATTACAAATGAGTGGTTTGGATTAAATACGGTTGGGTCAAACAATATATTTAATCTAATTAGCTCAAAATGTTCTTGTGGCAAATTAAAATGAGTTGAATTAAGATAGGAAAATGAGGGGTCATAACTCAATTCGCCCAACAAAACGCAATCTCTCATCTTTTGTTTTTTGAAAAAAATGTGAAAGTTAATTTATTTTTCTTAAATTTTTTGCCTAAATTTGATTTTGCATGTTTGTGCTTGGATGGTAATTTGACCCATCTAGTTATACTTTTTGTCTGTTTTAACCTAATAGTTTAACATATGTCAAATGTGTGTTTAGTTATAAATATATGTGTTTATTATTGTTAGCCCTGTACTCAGAATAGTAAATTAGAAATTCTATACACATGAAAAGAAAGAAAATATTTGAGTCCACAAAATTCACTTTGTCCCCTTAAGAAATTTAATCCCCTCATCGAACTCGAGGTTGTGGATATTTCCTCTCAGGATAAAATGGATAAATCTATTAAAGAAATAGTGGTACCTCAAACTTCAATAATTTCAGTGAACTCAAAAGTTAGCAACGAAATCACACAAAAACTCTACTTTGCTTGTAAGAAAATGTATGAAGACAAGGAGGAAATTCTATATTGAAATTGAGAGGAAACCCCTCTATTTATAGCCAACAAAGGGTAGTAAATGAAAAGGTACTAATTGTGCCTTATTGTAGAGGTCACAACCCTTAGGAAAATGGAGAAAAGGTCACAAACCTTTCGAAAAGACACAATCTTTTAGAAAAGTCACAACCCTTTAGAAAAGGCACAACCTTTCGAAAAGGTAATAATCTTTCGAAAAAGTCACAACCTTTCATTTTCCATTGATATCTTTAAAACCCAACAATTATTGCCACTAAATATAATATGACGACAATTATATATATTATTGCCGCTAAATTCTTTATTTGTTGTGTGTTCACTATTATTGCCTTAAGAATTTCTCATGAATTGACAATTATTTTTATCTTCTTCCTTGTCAATTTTATGTAGAATGTGTTACTTGCTGGATCAGGCACTAGTGCATCTGTGATAATATGGGCAATGACAATCTTGATCAAGAATCCAAAAGCCATGAAGAAAGTTCAAGAAGAGATCAGAAATTTAATGGGGAACAAAAACATTGTAAATGAAGATGATATTCAAAATATGCCTTATCTTAGAGCAGTGATAAAAGAGACATTAAGATTATTTCCACCAATTCCACTCCTAATAGCAAGAGAATCAATGAAAAAATCCACACTAGAAGGGTATGAACTTCAACCAAGAACTATAGTTTATATTAACGCATGGGCAATTGCAAGAGATCCTGAAATATGGGAAAATCCAGAAGAATTTATGCCGGAAAGATTCTTGAATAGCGATATCGACTTCAAGGGAAAAGACTATGAGTTTATTCCGTTTGGAGCAGGAAGAAGAGGTTGTCCGGCAATGGCACTTGGGGTTGCATCTGTGGAACTTGCATTATCAAATCTTCTTAATGCATTTGATTGGGAGTTACCTTATGGGTTGAAAAAGGAGGACATTGACATAATGGTAAACCTGGAATTACAGTGAATAAGAAAAATGACCTTTGCCTTATCCCTAAAAGATATTTCTAAATTACATCCCAAAGTGAATTTCTTGAGGTAAGGCATCAATTGCTTTCGATTCAAATTAATCACTTTGTCGTATAAAGGATTGTTTTGAAGTGTTATTCTGTAACTGAATGATAATAAGTCAATTTCATTGGTTGTGAATGCATTTTATATATGTAGCTTATCTTGGTCTTGAGCCCACATTTCTCTCGCCTTGACACAACATGTACAACTTTTTATCTCCACTTTCGTCTTGTAGTTCTTCATACAAATTAGGAGTGTACATGGTCGGATTGGTTCAGGTTTTTCAAATATCAAACCAAACTATTTGTGTCGGATTTTTAAATCTATAAATCAAACCAAATCAATAAAACTCGAGTTTTTCAACCTCAGGTTTTTCCGCTAAAGTATTCATACAAACATATAATTTACTTGTACTTCAAATATTTCTTCAGTCCTGCCAAAATACAACTATCTAAGGTGTTTCTTAAGAATACAACACAAACAATGATATGATTAATGACACTAAAATATCCAATAATAATAATAATAATAATAATAATAATAATAATAATAAAAAAAAAATCGCGTAAAACAAATATTGCAAATTAACAAGTCATAATGAAAATAATCATAATTTAAAAGTACTAAATCATGCTAAAATAAGTTTAATAAGTATTAGTTACATGACTAAATATTAAAGGAAATTAAAATTAGATTATGTACTTTAATTGTCTAAACCAATGTAAAACCAAAGAACAAATATTCAATATTATTGTCATTCTTAGTGTTTAATTGATTTTCTTTTTGCATTAGTATTAATTTGATTTTGATTTAAGTTTTATTATAATTAGCAACATCTATGGACTATAATCTTTATGGAACCATTCGAGATTCTAAGTTTCAAACTTGAAATAATATATTAAAAGATAAAAACTATGAAAAAGTATAAGAAATATTTAAAAATTATATCAAAGAAAATATTTTTATGTATAAAATAAAATTTTAAAATTATATATATAATGTCGGGTTGGTTTGGTCTCGAGTTAGTTTTTTTCAGTTAAAATCAAACCAACCCAAATATAGTCCGATTTTTTTTTCAACACCAAACCAAGTCAAACCAACCACTAGTCGAGTTTTTTTTCCGATTTGACTCGATTTGCGGTTTAGTTCGGTTTTCATGTCAAACAACATCTTAACGTTTGCTTGTCCTACATGTTTTTTTTGTATTGTGAATGTCATTGCTATGCCACTAGTAATTTACAGTAATATTAACATTGTTAATTGACAAAATAAAAATAAAAATTGGAACCGATGTTTTAAAAGGCGGGGCGTAAAACGGGGTATTTTACTTGGTAGAGGGTGAGGTGTAAGCCTCGAGACGTGGGGCGTAAGTCCTATGGATCTTTAAAATTTTAATATAATATAGTATAATAATAATAATATAATAACACAAAATTATAAAAATACATCAATAATAGTTTGAAATAATTACAAACCTGATTAAGGAAACTCATAGAAAATAAAACTTCTAACATGATTATACAATAAATAATCTAATATCTTAACTTTCTAATAATAAAAGAATCATTATTTCTAAAAATATTTTTTAGAGTAAATTTTAGGTTTAGCAAACATAAAAATCATATTTGTATGCTATTGCTATAGTTTATATAATTGTGCTCCATAGCAAACTAGCATCAGATTTGTATAAATCGCTGACAGTCTCTCGTTTGTATAAATCGATGGCAGTCTCTCGTTTGTATAAATCGCTGGCAGCCTCTCAATTCAATTTTATGTGTTTGTATATATAAAATTTGAATTTGTATACAATTGAATTGAAATAAAACGTTTGTATATCAAATCTCTCTCTCTCTCACTCACTTTATACAACACAAATTATACATTGTAAATTTGTAATTTGTATAATTTGTGTTTGTATAAAGTGAGAAAGAGAGAAAGACAAAAGAGAACTGGGCAGAGAAAAATCTGTATTTGTATAATTATAAGTGTATAGGACAAAAATATATGTATTTGTATTTGTATATGCAATTTTCTCTCGCTTTATACATTTGTGTTCTATAAAGTGAGAGAGGCGAGGGAGAGAGCGGCAAGCGAGAAAGGGAGAGTGGCGAGCGAGAAAGCTGGGGAGAGAGGCGAATGACAATTGTTTGCTACGGGTTACAATTAAATCAAATTGTGGTTATAATATTTAATTTAAATTAATAGTTTGCTATTTTATACAATTTTCCCTTCTTCTTTTTTTATCATACTACACAATTTACCCCTAAAAGAAAATAATCAATAAAACTTTCTAGTATTATAATAAAAACATCACTCCATCATGAATAAAAATAAGATTACTTTCAAATAGCTAAATAACATATGATAATTTTGAGACACATGACAAAACCATGAAAACCAATGATAAGTGAAAAAGTAATTTTTTTTTACGTAATATATAATCATCTTCACAGTGTTACCAAATAGTAAAGATGTGATACTACAACTTGTTATTCAAGTTACTCTCAATCTTCTTATCTCTACAAATTAAAAAATTATTAAATATCATTCATTTATTCAAGAATTATGAGGATCAACAATGTTAACTAAAGATTTTAACACATAATTTGTGTAAGATCTGTTAGGTGATCCCCAGCGTTGGACGTGCTTAGGGCGTAAGTCTTATAAAACTAAGCCCCACACTAGAGTCTCGGGGGGTTTTGCTAGAGCCCCCAACGGAGTCTTTTAAAACAGCTTGGAACAGTATTACTGATTACTAGCACATTGCTGAAATATTTGATTGCCAGACCTTGTAAAAGACAAAGGATATAATCAAAATGAAGAGCCAAATTTATTACAAGAGAATTTTTTTTGATAATTTAAACTTTGGTGATGTAGACTGTTGTAGAGTCTATTTAAGCAACAAAGTGAATCGTAAGATTTCACTCCTTTCCTGAGGTACATAGAAAACGAACCTGTATCTCCTACTTCTCCGATCTCCGATTGATGACTTCAAAAATACCAACTCTGTAGCTAGCATTTCTGCGATCTTTGCTCAACCGATAAGCATGGATGCCTCAAAGGTCCTGGTCTTTTACAATCATTCTTTATAATGTTCCACTTTTGTTTACTGCATCATCCGCAAGGCTTTGATCCAATCAACTTCAACTCCAAAATCACCAGGACCAGACTTCGCATCTGGAACTCCACCTTCTGCGTTGACAGATAAAGACATACCAACGATTCGAGCTGGATTCATCTCCATCCTTGCATTTATTATGTTCCCTCTCCATGTAGGTGCATAACGAGTAAGTGGGATCTACACAGCCAATAAAAGCAATCTACTTATCTTCTCTTCCCCCACAAGTATTCTATTTGAACCTTCTGCGATGTGATATAGCTTCCACATCACATGAACGATGAAAGAAATGAAGAACTTACCTTTGCAATATACCAGTTATCTTTTGGCACAAAAACGAATGCTTGCCATGAATTATCTTCATCTTGTCCTGGACTATTGACCCAATTCTCTGTGTATATCTGCGATTAGGCTCTTAGTGAGAAATGACTATTTCCACAGTTCATCTAAATATCAATAGCAGCAGTTCAATGAAAACATAGAACATACTGTAGAAATATAGCATCTTCCATCCCCTTTAAGTTTAAGAGCTATTGTGTCATATCCATCCAAATCAATGAAGCCATCAAACTGCAAGAAAAAAAAATTAGAAGGAAAAGCCACGCTACTAATAGATAAAACAAAACATATCCTCTATATCGTAATATTGTGTAAGGGGCAGTCAGAAATGACATGTCAACTATACCAAACACATTTAAGTTTTTTTTTGAAGTTTCACCACTAGTGCCTGCTATATGAGAATCACTCTTTTGATAAAGCCAACTAGTGATATATTGAAGTTTCATAGCAAATGAAAGCAAAATTTTATTACTTCATTAACTTTCAAATGCAAAATTTTAATAATGAAATACACTCTTACTAATTGACTAATTAAAAATTTGAAATGCAAAAAAAAAAAAAAAAAAAAAAAAAAAGGAAGAGAGACTATCTCGCATGCAAATGAAACATCACAAACTTTATTGAAGTAAGACTTGGCAAATATAAAGATAGTTCTTTAGTTAAAACAAGGGGAGTAGAAAATGAGGGGAAAGGACTTAACATCTATCACTATCCCGAGTCCGAAGAGATGGTTCACTGATAGACTTGAGGAATAGATCATCAATTCACATCCAGATCATGTATATTTGAGTATACAAATAAATCTGCTAAATTCTCGTGGGGGTTTTCTATTTATTTTTAAAAAGATTGTCTTACCAAGCAGGCCCCTGCTGGGTTGGTCTGTGGGTCATGAACCAATTCCTAGCTGGGTCCAGTTAGGGGGTCTAACCATCTAATAATTGACCTGGCCGCCCATGCCCCTTAAGTTAGAGGGTCAGACAAATCAAGAGTTGGAGCTGGAGGTAGGGGACCACTTAGGGACCTGTTTTAAGGGGTTAAATGGGTTAGTTTGTAGATTAACCCAGCCAACTTGACAGATCTGAACTTTTGAATAGAAGGATTATCAACAGTCACAAAGGAGACAAAAACATACAATATCAGTTAGATGACCTAAGTCTAAGATGTGCAGATGGCCCAAGCTGACCAAGATGCTGCCCCGTCCATTATTTTTCTACTTATATTCAGTTATCATGTATTTTTTTTTTCATTTTGGTTTTCCCAGTAAAGTTCTCTTATTCTCTTGGTGTTCTAGGACTTTGTCATCTCTTCCTTCGAATTTTTTATCTTGAATCTGTGACTTATCTCATTATCAAACAAGAAAAGGGCATGAAGTATTTATTAGGATGGTTGAGTAGCATTCACCTTTTTAGACCGCATTCCACAAAAGCCACTTCGAGTCATATTCCACTTTGATCCTTCCATAACATCCAAAGAGAGGTTTCCAGAGAAAAGACCTGTCAAAAGAACCAGAAATCTGTCTATATTCAATGAGAAAAGTAACACTAATTATAGTACTCCCTCCGTCCCATTTTATGTGCACCCTTTGACTTGGCACGGTGTTTAAGAAAAAAAGGAAGACTTTTGAAACTTGTGGTCTAAAACAATACTTAGATATTTGTATGGTTGAGATTCATTTCATTAAGGATATAATGGAAATTTTAAAGTTAAATTGTTTCTAATTATAAAAAGGTGACGTTCTTTTTGGGACGAACTAAAAAGGAAAGGGTGCCACATAAAATGGGACAGAGGGAGTAACATCTTTTGACATACTTTCATGATTATCACCAAGAATTGTCTACAATAGACAAGATTGAAGAAGGGACATGGGCGAGGCAGAACAAAGAAATTACGTAAGTGGAATTTTAGGCTCGGTGGTATTCTCAGAGGTCAATGGCTTTCTCCACATACAACACTGAAGGCCCCAAATAATGCTACTCCAATTATAGTGCTTTTACAGCAGCCACATAGAAGCGATCAATCAATTATTATTTTTTTGAACAAACAAAGTTGGGTCAGCTATATGAATTGTAGGAATTTGACTATTTTTACGCTGCCTGTCAATTTACTACAACGATCTTCCCTTATCCGGGACTTGAGATCACCTACGCTCTGCAAGTATAGGTTGAGAGATAGAAGAGATCATGGTTTAACTATTTTTCACCAGTTAATTCTTTGCACACCGTAGCTAATTCAGTCGGTTGGCTTCCAAGGAGAAGAATTTCCACAAACAGACACTAAAGCCAAATGCAACAATATCATTCCAACAAATTACACATTAAATATTATCAATGTCATAGGAGCAATTAAAGCTCAATATGTGAAGTCCATAAAGAGGCGATATAAAATAAACTTATATACGTTTGATGTAGAATCTAACCAAAAGAAATTCAAACATGTAGAGAAGTTACTGTGTCTCAATACTTTAATTAAATCTAAGATAAAAAGTCAAGGCTTTAGCTTACTAAGACAAACTTCAAAATGCTTGCAAGCAGTGCATCCATAGTTTCTAACCAGCGAGGAATTTGAGATTGTAATACAGCCTCTCTACCTCCACGAGGTAGTGGTAAGGTCTGCCTACACTCTACCCTCCCCAGACCCCACTAAGTGGGATTTCACTGGGTATGTTGCTGCTGTTGTATGAGTTAACAAAGTTATCTGAACTGTAAAATTAATTGTTTGTACTGTTTTCAGAGGAAAACAAAAGTTCTACACCAAAGAGCTATCTAGCACATGCAGTCAATAATCCAAGATAAAAGTGAGAAATAACCATTAGCAGTTGAGGTTGGATAAGAGAAGTATAACACATAAAGACATTATAAGTGACTAAGAACAATTAAAAAGGAAAAGGGAAGATCAACAGAAAAAGAACAAAAAGGAAATAAAGAACAGTATGCACACTCAAAATAATTTACCAACACTAGTTGACCCATTTCCAGTGTCCTTAATCTCCAAAGCTGCTGAGGATAGACCTGAGATATTATCATCAGGGTATTTATTAGTCTTATTAATCTTGGATTTGGTGAACACTTGGACAAAAGAAAAGAAAGCCCTCAGTCTATAGATGCCTTGCATGATTCTTGGAGACTGTAGTCATTGGTTAACTTTGTAAGGGCACTCTCCTTAAGTACCATCACTCTGATTTCTAAAAATAACAATTACGAGCACCTCAACATAATATATGCAGATATGAAAAGACAAGTGTATTTTGTAAAACCAAAGAATCTAGGCTTTGTAATTAGATGCTCACAAAAATAGAATATTTCTTCATAATTTTTGGTATTTTTTTTTTTTTAGTTGGAGTAATCAAAATAATAAATTCATCTCAAATGGAAAACAATGTGTTCTGTAAAGCTGAGAGTCCACCTCCACTAAGAACCATGTGCAGAATAAGGCTATGAAAGTCTATAACTAAAGGAGAATAAATAAGGAAAACTGATTGCACAAAATAACAGGTTGGAATATACCCAAAAAAGTTCTTGTTTGGCTGTTACCAAGTACTCGTATTACATGTAAGAGAAGTATGTACGTCTATATACCTCCATATTCTGAATCTGAGTATAAATGCCAATTCTTGAGCTCATCCTTTGAACTAAAGTTGAAAATGTATCTTTCACTGGGTGGAACTAGGTCTTCAATGTTCCACGCGAGTGCTACAGGTGAAAAAAGTTATTACGCATTGAAAGTTGCTATAATTGATAGACAGAAGTAACAAAATAAGAGCACCATTTTACTCGCATGCTGATTCAATGAAGAATACACTGTTACACACTTGGCAAAAGATTGGTCAACTACTTGTCAACTTGAGGAGCTAGATAGGGATTACCACAAACCCATAAGATAATACCAACACCCATCATAAACTAATGAAGCAAAAAGTATGAGGGAGAACAACAAGAACATGACAAAGAAGTTAATTAATATTAACAGCTAAGCACGTCAATGGAGATGTGCAGATGAAAAAGGTTATCTATGCCCCTGTTCTTCTTTCTTTTACACTATTTGCATAAATGCTGTAAAGAACTACTGGGGTCTGGGTGAATCATTTTTATCTATAAACCTCACTCAACTCCTTTTAAACATACAAGCCTCTCCACAATAGACGTGAAAGGACACCAAAGCAAAGACATTTCTAAGTTTCTAAAGATGACAGGAATTCTCGCAGATCACCCAGCCATTTTAACAATTTATTTTAACTGATCTGTGAGAAATGGTAAACGAAAAGAAAGTATGACCCATTTTAACTGTCAGACTGGCAAGAAAGGACTTATGAAGCAAAATTCCCGTATATTTCAAAGGGTCCTAACTAGCTAAAACTAAATGGCTTCCATAAACATTAACTAAAATGGCTTCAAAAAACATTTACTTATTAAAATAACTTAACAATCAGAATCTGAAAGGCAAACAAGCTGATGCACCAAAATAAGATGGCGAATGCAATTAACAAAGATGTATCTTCAGTGCAGCACACATAACTACATAAGGTTTGTTAGTGGAAGTTCGGTGAACTTGGATGGAGAATTGGTTAGGATTTAGTTGGGATTTCATTTGTAACTAAGTGTAGATGTAATCTTGATTCTTAGTTGCTTTCATCTGTTGTATAAATACCATTTCGCATCAATAAAACTCATTCTTTGGCTGCCAATTTAGATTTCCTTTGCTCATTTGTTAGTTCAAAGCTTAGTCATTATGAATTTCTCATTGCTTTTGGTGGTATAGTGAGCTTTTTCACTTGCGATTCTGCACTTTTGCATCACAAGCTGGGATTAATATATATTCCATCTCATGTCAGCTAAAAGGATCAAAAAATGGGTCGAACATCAAATCCTAGTAGTATTTGGTAACAGGAAATAGAAATGAAAAGTATCCGCTAAAACAGAAACAGAAGCAGCATAGGGATTTGGATGAAAAAATTCCAGAATAATCAGGTGAAATACCTCTTCTTGTAGCATTCAACGATGCTTGCAATAGTGAGCGAAACCTAGACATATCTAACCTCCCCTCCTGTAAGAAAACTCCTGCAACATTGAATTGAGTTTCAGCTATTAGAGACAGGATACTGCACAACAAAAAGCAAGGCATGCTACTGTGAAATTAAGGACTTAAATTGCTTGAGATCATATACCAATCTATTGACAGCAAGCCTTCTGGCTTCCAGCAATGTCTCTCCTTACTTTATTTACCTCAAAGTTCAATTAGATGGAGAAAAATAGTATACAGAGGAATAAGGGTAGCTGAATCTTTACAAGAAGGAGACGGTTTGCCAATGTGGAAAAAGAGAGAAATGATCAAAATGGTCCTTATTGTATGGGGTTGGACTATTTTGGTCCTTAATAGATGCTACGTAACAGATATAGTCCTCATTGTATGCAAGAAATAGACACTTTTTAGTACTAAACCTTAAAACTAACGGTTTCCCTAAATAAATCTGTTAAAAGTAAACTGAGAAACAAATTAAACCCAAAAAGAAAACTTCCCCTTATTGTTCTTCTCTGTAAAACCCCTCTGACACAAACTCTCAAGAATTGTTGGAGGAAAATGTCATATAGCAAATTGACTATTACAGTGCAAGCTACTTAACTAGACGAAATTGCCGGAGTCAATCCAGATAAATGGAAAGGCAAAACAGTTGCAAGCTTGGAAGAGAGTCCTTAGGATCTACCAATACCCATTTTTCAAGAGAATAATTTGAAATGCAAGCATAAATAGTACGCCCTCATGTTTAGATCATACATGATTATAGTGTAGTGGATCAAATAGAACATGGATTACAAGACTTTGAAAAAACTTTGCCGCACTACCCGATTTACTCGAATAGTTTATAATAAGTTTAAGCGAACATAACAACTGAATCCCGGAAAATTTGGAGGCAATGAAAGAGAAATAGGTGAAGCAGAAGGTTTCTCAGAGCATACCAAAAAATCAAAGAATCAAAGACGCTTCTTGATAGATCTCAAGATAGTGATCGATCACTTATTTATGGGAATGCTTTCCGACATTCATAGACAGGGAGTCACTTCTGCCAGTGTTCCTGAGGTCAATGAACAGAAGTGCTGTGAAGGAGGAGTAAAATCCCAAAATAGTGCCTTGGGCTGAGACTCAAAATCATCCTTGTTCTTTCACATGAAGCACTAATAGTCCCTTATATTTGCAATCTTGATGCACTTTTGGTCCTCCCCAAACTTCCCCTATTTTTTAACATTGGTTTTGTCCACAATTTAGTATATGAAATGTTCAGTCCTTCTCTTTTTTTGTTAAGTAGAAACAACAGCTCTATATGAGAGAAAGTGAGAAGAAGAGTGTCCTTTGTTTTGTTCAATCCAACTACGTTGCAGCTAAACCAAGAACCTACCTTTGTTTTTCGGACTATTGTCTGTATTTTCAGGCATTTTTGCTTCAAAAGGCAATAGCATAAAGCACCCACAAGTAAGATAGAAAACAAGTTACAAATCTCAATATGTGAGAATGAATAAATTAAAAGTGATGTAACGAGACAAGGTCGAACCTAACATGTCGGATCGGAGCAGGGATGTACACGTAAATTAGGCATAGTGAACGAGCTTCTAGTAGCCCCTAATCTTAATCAACTTCAATACTGATCTTTTCTTAAGGATATTAGGGGAAGGGAGTGTTATTACTTGCCAATTGTTTATGTTTTGGTATAATCCAAGCCTTAGTTGCATCTATTTCATTCACATATTAACTTATTGTTAGAGTTATATTTATTTTACTGGAGTTGTGTAAGAGCTTTCAAAGGAGTTCATGAACATATTGGTCTACTCTATCAATAGATATATCTTTCTTCAAAAGCTAAAGCCGATTGTTTGTATTTTTGTGAAGTAAAATTCAGTACGAGAATCATGTCCTTTCATGTTATGCATTTTCATAATTAGATATAGCCACATTTACAAGTATCAAATTTGACCCATATAAATATATAACATGTTCAATTTATCGAATTTTAATGGGGTAGGTCGATATTATTTTGTTTCGCATCTCAAAAATCAACTTGCTTGTAGAATTATCAGACTCTATTTTCTTGCAACATATTGGTGAAATTTCATTTCTTTACCGATCATCCTCTACTACAAACTTTTTAATATCAAACTAACTTTTAAGCTTGACTCCTAGTTTTTGCTTTTGAGCTCGTTCTTTCCTTTCTGTAGCTCCTAAACTCAGCACATATATGGATCCCAGTTTCTCGAGTAGTTTCTCAAAATGATTTTCAGTTAAATGAACTTTATCTAAATCTATAAAATACTTTTATGTTGGGGCGGATTGGGTTACGACCCAAAACAACCTATACTGACCTAATTCATTTATCAAAATAGATTTTTGGACGGATTAGATCATAGCTCATATATTAACATAATCTGCTTTGATCTGTATAAGTTTGACCCAATCTACCAATTTGAAACTCCATCCTGCTAATTTTTTCTTTAGGTGTATATAATGGACGGAAAACTTAATTTGATTAGATTAATAGTGCTGTTCAGTTGAAGATAATCATTGTTACTTTCAGAAGATGTCTGCATTAAGGAAAAGTCTAAGGGAGCTTCCTTTAGTCTGCTCATGAATGAGAGTTGGTTGTATTAGTTCATAAAACAGATTTAACAACTAATAAGCAAGCAACAATTCCTCCATTTAGCAGTGTAAACCAACAGCTTGTAACAAAAAAATTCAGCCCAAAAAAGGAAATATTTGACTCCAAAAGCACAAGAACAGAGAATGTCACAGAGTGTACTTTGAAAGATCATTTAGGTGTGCATAATTTTCAACTCAAGCGATTCGACCAAGCAGTCCAAGACGTATCTAACCATCCCAAATTTACTCAAAACCAACTCCTAATAGTGCTTGGGTAATCAGACTTCAGTGGCGAATTCATTAAGCACACAATAAAATGGAGATCAGGTTTAAGTTTTAACAAAGGCTCAAGTCAAACAAACCGAATAAAAGAACCCATTTCAAGAGTTCAAAATTTATGGCTATAGATTATCATACTGCTCCATGTAGAAGTTTCCCTCTCCCCAATCTCCACTTCCTTACAAATTGGTCAAATCAGAACAAAACACTTTAAAACCAACCCGAACTACCCCACACGCACTCATACAATATCCTAATGTCACTGGCCACTCAGACTTCACCTACTAATAAAATCGTCTCTCAGACAATTTATCAAACACATTGCAGGCAGAACTTTAACCTAACTTTTAGCACAATTGATTTACCCTCTCATTTACTGGGAATTATAGTTCAATGCAGCACAAATACATCACAATCATCCAACAATACCAGAATTGAACAATTTGTGCTCTCTAACTCCACAACAAAAGATTCACATGGACAGAAAAGAAAAATAAGAATAATTATGTAAGGGAGAGAGAGAAGAGACCTTACCTGAGAGCCACTGGGAGCCTCGACTGGTAATGGAGTTCTGTGATCTTGTGGTGTTGTGAAGTGAGCTTGTGTGTTAGCGTGAATAGGGGTGTGCACTGTTCGGATTAAACCGAATAACCAAACCAAATCAAATCGAATTTTTATTTGGATTGGTTTTTTGGTTTTTCGGATTGGTTTTGGATTAATAAATTACTTTGTTTGGTTTCGGATTTTAAAAAATAAAAACCAAAAAACCTAAAAAAACCGAATTACATATATATATAATGTTTAGGTTTAGAATTAAGTTGGAGTTAACCACTTTTGTCCCTTTTTGGTTATTGTCTTTCATGATGATTACATTTATATTTTATGTTTGAATTACATCTATAATAAGTATACTTATAAGTATTGTGTTTTAAGCTTTACTTATGATTTATATTAGAAAGAATATTTAAGGGATTAAATATTATTACTTTGGTTATATATGTTATTAATTATTGACATAATCGAATAACCAAACCGAAAAAAGCCGAACCGAATAGAGGAAAACCAAACCAAACCAAATTTATTTTGGATCGGATTGGATTACACTTTTACAAAACCAAAAACCGAAAATCCAAACCGAATAGTGTAAAACCAAACCGAAAAACCGAATGCACACCCCTAAGCATGAAGGTGAGCGGACATATAAAACAGGGGAAATCATTTGACATAAGAAGTAGGAAAAATGGTTAAATTATTTTTTATGTATAATATGTCATATTTAATATTATTTTTATATATTTTATCTAGAGTTGTCAAAAAGGATCCGTTCAGTCTCGCGTGCCATGAAAATGTTCAACCCAAACCTAGAAGGGTCGCGGGCTAGCCCTTTCTTTTTTTTCTTTTCAAACTTCAAATTATATAACATCAAGAAGATGAAAAGATTTTCAAATCAAATATGACAAATAATGGTGTTGTTTCAATAACACTAGCAAAAAGTCTAGTGTGATAAACATATATTTATGATACTAGATAAATGTATCTGATGTGATGCATCCCAGATATGCGAGTGAGATAAGAAAGTGGCGAGTGAGATGAAAGGGAGGTGAGGGGGCAAAATTTATCTATGTATCCTAGATACATACAAATTCACAGAGATAGAGTGTATCTAGAAGAAATTGACCTAATTTTGAGTTCATGTATCCGAGATACATGTATCTGGTGATAAGATTCGTAATATTACAACATGATGTGCCTTTAAGTAATTAACTCATACACTATGTAAGTTATCTTTAAATAAATAGTTTTGGCCCATGGGCCGACCCCGGCCCGATCCTGATCAAGCCTCAAGGGTTAATGACTTATATGGGTCAGGTTTATAAGCCCTAGTTTAAATGGACTTGAAAAATCCTATATCAACCCTACCCCAATAACGAGTTGGATTGGTCGGTCCCATGGGCTAAATCCATTTTGTCGACTCTAATTTATCAAACAATCCCTAACGTTTTAGTTAAAATACTTAAAAGGATAAAAATTAAAAATTATTATATTTGAAGACACCAATTGAGAAAAAATTACTTAAATACACAATTTATTTACTATAATCTCTAAAATCTCCTATCGTTTGAAAAATTTACAAAAATCCTTACTCTCTTATTCTCGGATACATCACTTTATGTGATGTATTAGGATGTTGAGTGATGTATCTGAAACCTAGACGAAATGAATTGGGACATTGAGGGATATACCCGAAACTAGAATGTGATGTATTGGGACATTTTGGAATGTATCTAGATTCCACCAAATTTAAGAGATTTTTGTAATTTAAAAAAGAATAGAAATAAAATATAATTAACTCTTAACACTATGAAATTTGTATAAAACTTCCCAAAAATTAAAGGTCATCAAAATAAAAATATTTTGTGCCAATAAAGGGAACTTGGAAAATATTGTAATGGGCTTCTTCAGAATAAAAATTAGTTTTGGGCTAAGGACTAATGCTAAGCTCATTAGCTAAGGAGTCAATAAGGGATATAAATTAGGAAAATTAGCAATTAAGTCACAATACCTAACATAATTAGTCAAAATAACAACACATTAAAATATTTATTTAAAATGTCAGAATGACAATATTTTAGAAAATAATATGTATTCAGATTTTAGTATTTAAAATTAATTTTATTTATGAAAACAGTCCTATATTGGACCAAATTCTAAATCAATAACCGTTTTAAAAAAAATAATTAAATCAATACCCATTAACCTTCCTTCTTCACCTTTCACTTTTCTACCCCCGTCTTTCACGTTTCTATCCCTTTTTTGACGTTTTCAGATTCTCTTTCTTCAAGGTGCTGACAAATTGTTCAGCAAAATATATATTTTAATTCAAGAAATTTTCTCGATTGTTAAACGAAATCTCTTTATTAATTCAAGAGATTTCTTGATTGGCAAGGTAATTTCCATTATTCATTTAGATTTATTTTGATTTGCTGTTTAAAATCACCGATTATGGTGTATAATACAACTTATTATATGTATTATGTATTCACCAAAACTGTATTTTCAATAACAACTTAATTTACAACTAATTTGTATTTATATATTATATATATTTCAAAACTGTATTTTTTTTTTTGCGTATTTGAACTATAATGCCAAAATATTTGTATTCATTATTAATCTATACCAATAGTTTTTGTATTTTAAATTGTACATATTCTAAGTAGTTCAAACAAGTTAATTTCCAAAACAGAGGGCATTAGAAATTGAAAAACGATTCCACTCTATAAGATATCAATTACAAGCACAACTAACTAAACAATAAATACAACTTATTATATGTATTATGTATTCACCAAAATTGTATTTTCAATAACAACTTAATTTACAATTAATTTGTATTTATATATTATATAGATTTCAAAGTTGTATTTTTTTGTGTAATTGAACTATAATGTCAAAAGAGTTGTATTCATTATTAATCTGTACCAACATTTTTTTATATCTGATTATGTAAACCTTAGTTTATGTCGAACTATCGTGAATTCCGTTGAACTGTATACTTTGTAGTAGTGAATTTTCTAAACCTTAGTTTCAAACATATGTCGAATACAAAGCGAAGAAGATTGGATGAGATCAGTGTAATGATTCGTAAGGAAAAATATTGTTTTCAAAAACTGGAATTTTTAAGCAACAGAGGAAAAAAAACGTTCGGCCAAATAGTGGCGACATATGCTCCTTCAATATGTAACTGATTTTAAATTTAAATTGTTTTTAATTTTTCTTAAATATTTTGTCTCATGATTTTCTATTGTTTAATATTTATATTCTTTCATATTAATCAAAATAAAAAAAAATACATAAATCAGAACTTAACAAACTAAAATATTGACATTTTAAATAAATAGTGAAACTATTGCTAAGGGGTCCCATAAGAAGCTAAAATATTGCTATTTTGAAAAATTTCCCTATAAATTTGGCCTTTCAAAAAGAATTCGGTTTTGTCAATAAAAAAAGGAAGAATACACACACTTAGTTAACATATTCTCAATATTTCCCTACTATTTAAAAAAAAAAAAACTAGAATCCCTGTTGTTCCCACAAAACTAAACCACCGATACATTATTCTTGAAGAAGTCTAAACCTTACTTTTCCACCCCTAAATTTACTCCAATAATTTCTCCTCAGATTTTCCCACAACCCACGATTCCCTCTCCAAAATTTTCTCTCCCATTATTCTCAACAAATTCATTATTCCAATTTTGAATTTCAAACTAATTCTCTCTCCATTCAACTAATTTTAGAGTTTGAAATAGGTAGTCTTTTCATCTTCAACTTTTTTTTTCGTTTTTTTTCTTATACTTTATGGATTATCCGTCTTTTAGTATTGGGATTACCCAAATAGTCACAGCCAACACTAATTGAATCTCGGATTATGAAGATCCTAACGGGGCAGAAAATAGGTCTAATAGGTTGCATGATCCTATAACAATGGCTAAGCAAAGTTCTAAGAAGTCAAAACCTAAAAAGGAGGCACATGGAAAAACACCTAAGAAAAGGGGTAGAAAGGTTGCCTCGGCCATAGCCAGATCTGCATTACCAACGGTATGTATTTTACTATTTTTTTTATTTTTCTGTAATTTTATGTATTCACATGTTACTATTGGATCCACAACATTCGTTTGAGATGAAATTTGTTCAAGATATTATGTAACAAGAAAGCGACAGTTTGTAACTATTGAATCAATTTTTCTTTACTTACACATTTGATCTATTTTTATAATGTATCTTCTTCTTTTTTGTAGTGATTGCGAAATGTTTTTTTGTTGTTTTTGTTGAATTTCTGAGCGGTGAAATCAACATCTCATCTAATGATTTTCGAAGTGACTATCTTCGCACAAGATATGCAACACTGTTATGAAAGTATGGTCTCAACAAGGCCAAGACGTAATATGTTAGCGAGAATGATGATCCTACAAGGCCGAAGAGTGACTACACTCCACCAACATAAGATGATCTTGTTAATGTAGAATAGATTTTTATATATCGATTCACCGACAGTTGTTGATGATATTGATTTTAAGATACATTAATTAATGTTTTTGAGTATTTCTTCCCTTTTGAAGATACTACTTCTAAATGTGAAGAGTTTTTATGTTGAAAATTGTTTATTTTTCTTTTCATTTTGTTTTCAATATATTTAATACCTTGTTTAATTTTGTCTCTTATAAGTATAGTACACATCACTATAGTTGATACTATATTATTAGCAAATACAAGATTTTTCAAAACTTTATTATGTATATATGATACACGATTACTTTCGATATAGCAAAATTTGTATGTATCACAACACCTGATACTATATTTTTATACTTGATACAAATCAGTTAATTTTTAATATATTTAGTACCTTTTGACATTATGTCTCTTATAAATTTGGTACAAATGACTACACTTGATACTATATTATAAGTTGATACAAATTTGCCAAAAAATATATTATGTATATGATACACAATTGTTATTTATCATGCTTTCAAAATCACAAATTGATGTGTATAAGCTGATACGAATTTGCCAAAAAATATATTATGTATATGATACACAATTATTATTTATC